TGGTTTCTCAAGATGTTTTTTGGTGTGTTTTTGATGTGGTGTAATGTTGTTGGAGTAGTAGGGGTTTTATAGAGTGGAGGAAGAATTGATTTGACTTATTAAAACCTCATATGATAATATGCCTTGCTTCATCTTAAGAAAGAAGCTGACTCCTTTGAGTTCATCTCAAGTCGTCTCTATTGATTTCTTGACAAAAAACCTAGCTTGATGAAACTTATACATCAAGAAATTTCAGCTAGTAGAAATTGTTTAATTTAAAACAAAACGTAGATATTTCTCAATTCACATTCTTTTTACCCATTTCTTAAAGCTTCATGGTCAAACCATATATTTATAATTACTTCATTTGTTCCAAGTAAAAGTATATAAATTGAACCACTTGACAAAGTTGGCATAAAAACAAATTTGTAGAAATCCAGTCCGAAGCTACAACAGGTATTATTATTTTAAGTGTAACAAACAAAAAAAGAGTTATAACAAGTAAGAAATAATCATATTTTGGTAGGAAACATATATATGACCACCAGACTTCATTGGTAGATAACAATTTTCAAAAATATCACATATGTTTTGTTTCACAAAATTACTTCAAAGCTATCATAAATTTGTGTGTTTGGAAATGTTCCTTAAACCCTTAAGAAACGTAAAAAATGTTATTTGTAGAGCTTTTCCCATTGTTGTGGTATTTTTGTAACTAAAACTTGTTTCATAACATTTTATAGTGTAGATGAAATGAAATTTAGACACTGAACCTGAGTGCTATAGTAACTTTCTTATATTATGTAATCGCTGTGTATAGGAATCCACATCTTTCTCTATAAACTTTTATGATTATTTCTAATTGTTTTGATCTTTGATGCCTTTATGTGCAAGGAACGAGTAGCTAGAACGTGAGGTTGCCTTAAATGATCCATCATGTCTACATCTCTGTAAACGTGTGCATTTTAAGAAACTTTATTTTGACTTTTATTGGCCCACTACTAGTTTGCCAATAGAAAAGTCAAAACGCGCCAAAATCAGTTGACCGGTTCACTATAAACCGGTTTAGCAACTCTTCAACCAAAAACCCTACCGAGTTATACTTTCTGAGTTCTGTTCTGCTTACAAAGCTGCCAGTTTTCTAAAGCTCAATTCTTGGTCACAATTCACAAGGCAAAAACAAAACTGCACCAAGAAACCGGTTTTAATTCAACAGTATACAAAGTTGTATCAAGAAACAAGTACATGAATCCACTAAACATTCCTGTCAAACTTTCTTGTGTGCTAAAAATGCAAACTAGCTTGCATTTTTTGTTTTTTTCGGAAACATCAAAATAATCTGACACTTTCTATAGCTTTTTATTCCAAGAGAAGTCAGTGTAGTGTCTTCTCTCTCTATTCAATTATAGGAAGATCAGGCTTAGCTTGCTCAGGACCGAGGCTTGTTTCTCCAACGGAAACAATAGTGTTACTACTGCTGCTTGAAGAAGCTCCTTGTTCGATCTCTTTCGTCATCTTTATGAAATAACTGTGCCTGCAAAAAATGAACCAGAAAGAGTAAAATCCAAGCATATAAAGATCATAACCGTTTGAAGAAATTAAGAGGACCGAGAAAAAGATTAACTAATTACCATCGCGTGTCTGCAGTTAACTCGGGATGAAAAGCTGTTGCTAACAAGTTTCTTTGCTTCACTGCAACAATTACTTTTGTTTCCGGAAGAGCATCTTCCTGGTTTTATCCCAACAAAATGGAACAAACAAGAAGAGATTCATTCATGCTGTCCTCATAAAAACTATCTCTTCATAAGCATTGGTTGCAAAATGAATCAAACCTCTTGGATTTGTACGGTAGAGCTTGAATACAAGACCTTATTTGATGGGACGGGATAATGCGCAAGGACTTCGACATCAGGGCCAACATCGAGAACAGCTGGAGCACGTATGAACACTCCTCGGAATGTCTCTGGCCCACCTTCTTTAGATGTTAGTTGAGGTACTAAAATATCAGCTTCAAAACTTTGAATCTACACATCGTAAAAACTTTGATATCAGCATTTTTCACCTTTATTGTTGAAGAACAATCTAAATTTTTATATGGTTAACATAGCACTTGACCAACAGAACCCCGTTCTCTTTATAACTACATCACACCGCTCAAGCCAATATGAGCGGTCTCTTTTCCACATTTCACAAGTATTGATTTCCATATATCTGAGTTATGGCAAATAGCATGAATACCTGGCTGCCAAAGAAATTCCTATGCACGGTGCAATCAAGGCCACCGACTAATTCCTGACCTCCCTCTTTCTGACCTGAAATTTTCAACATTTATCCTCAGTTTTAGTTCGTCACTTTTTCGCGATACATTTCAACCGGAACATAAATTAAAGTACTCACCAACTGCTCTGTCTGCCAAGAATATAAGACCCGCGCATGTCCCCCAAACAGGTTTCCCTGTCTTAACAAACTCACGTAGAGCCGGGAACTTCAAAAGAACCAAAAGAAAGAAAATTACAACAGAAAGAGACTTCTATGCTATTCATCCTCACCACTTAAAACTGTATAACCAATCAAATCTAAACAATGAGTTTCGTTAAACTAAACGTAGATCAACCTCTTCCTTACACAATTCTGGACTCACTATCGATATAGCTTTGCAAATGTTTCTGTTAAAGATAACAAAAATCATTTCACAGGATCATATAATCAACGAGTAACTCAGAGTTACCATAGGCAGAGAAACCAAAAACTGACACATTACTTATGTACTTGTAGATTAACTCAAGAGTAAAATGAAACCTTTAGTCCCAAAAGTTCTTCCTTTTGCAATCTCAAAGCTAATACCTTTGGACAATACTAACTAAATCCTTCATGAATTAGAGACAATTGACTCCATCAAACCAAAAAGTTCTCCAAACTCATGAAGATATCATTTCTCGTCAAAATCTGAATTCTGAATTGCTCAATCAGTGAATAACGCCAGAATCGAATCAAACCCACATACAAAAAAAGGAACCTTTTCCTAGTTTCATCAAGTGGGTCCTCTCGGAAACAACAAAACTCAATTCCCAGACACAATTAGATTACAAAAACACACAGATTCTACAGAGAGAAGGAGAGAGGACCAGATTATGGTACTCGGCGAGCTTGGCCATGGTGGTGCTCTCGCCGCCGGGAATGATGAGAGAGGAAACGGTGAGAAGCTGGTCGGCCTTCCTAATCTCGACGCCTTGGACGCCGAGCCGCCGCAGAGCCGCGATGTGTTCGTTGAAAGAACCTTGCAAAGCTAAAACTCCGACGGTCATTGCGGCGGCGTGAT